TGGCAAACCCATGGGCTAATGAATACTCTTTACCATAATCACAATTCAAGGCATCAATTCTTCTGTCATCTTTCTTTATTTTCCAGCTTTCAAATGCCTAGAACATAATTGAAAATACCATGGCTTGGATCAGGCACACTTTAATATCCTTGCTCTTTAGCACTTTGGAGAGGTCTTTGCTGCTACCACAGGAGTTGATTGTGGATTCAAGTAAAATGAAAATAGTTTACAACTTGGGATTGACATGGTGACTGTAAAACTGAGCTCAAGTATGTCGGAGCTGGTGAGGATGGCCCAAGATAGGGTCAGGTTCATATCTGCTGTTCATGTTGCTATGAGTCACTGTTGACTTGATGGCACATGTAACATCATGATGTTGCCTACTGGTCCAGTGATGAGGCTTTTTGTTTTCTTGATAGGCCACCACACATACACACCACCCATCGTACATATCAGCCTATACACAACCCCACACACATAAGCTCAAACACATGGCATTCTACACACATGATCCTATACACACAGGATCCTGCATACACATACTGCTGCACACATGCCACTTACCTCCAAACAGATCTCATTTCCTGTGCACACACCTTCACACACATGCCATCTGTACACACACATTCTATGTCCTGCATAGTTCAAGACACCTCAGAACTCTGACATCTTCTCCAGGAACTGCAGAGGCTCATGTGACAGTCTGTGAGCAGGCTGTGGTTGAAAGCAGCACATTTCCTGTGCACCACTTCCCAGCTATCCTTGTATCCCCTCCTCACTTCCATGAAGACTCTCATTAGGAAAGCTGCTTTCAGAGCAGAGGGTTAACAGAATGTCTATGCTAGCCAGTCCTAGGCTGAGAAATCTGATTGCTGCTATCTGACTCCTGGGCTGGGCAGTCACTCATGTCCTCCAGAACCCTGCCTCTCCTCATTTGACACTGAGGACAATGATGACATTGTCTGATGGAATTGTGATAAGCAGTGTTAGAGACAAGCCCTTGAAGACTGCACGCCAGCCCTTCCCATACTTAGTGCCCCATGGTTGCATCCACGAGGGTCTTGTCTTCTGAGAGGGTTGGGGTGCACTCTGCAGTTTCCTGAGGCCTTCCTGGATAACCTAGTTGACTGAAGGTGCAGCTGGTTCTAAACACATCCAGGCACCCAGAGTGGGTATCTTCTGGTGTCCTTCATGTCTTTCAGAGAGTTTCTTTTAATGTCAGTCTTGAGAAGGTGCTCACATGAGCAGATTGCCCTTCAAAACTTCCTCTCATGTTCATCAGAACTAGGAGCACACTGCCAGGACTCCCAGGCATGGTAACTGGGCTGTCTCCTCTGATGAGATATTTCTACCCCAACTGTTTCAGAGCTTTGTGCTCTGGATCAGGGTGGGCCTCTCTCCTGAGCTGCATGATGCTCTCCTCGTACACCTAAGTCATGGAGACCCCTTCTTTATGACCTGTCACAACAATGTTTTAACACAGATTCCATATCCAGACCAAAATTCAGGACAAACCCTCCCTAAGGACTCTGGTTCTGGGAAACTTATACCATGGGGGCCTCTCACAGTGAAGCCACACCCTTCTTAAAGCAGAAGGTGACCTTTCTCTAAAGCTCATGCAGGGCCTTTTTATTTTCCACAAAGCTTCGTCCCATGGGGGAAACCCAGGGCCAGCCAAATAAAGGTGGTTCTGCTCCCCAGCAAGGCCAGTTCTGTCTTGCGCTGGGGCACTCCCTGGGGCCAGCACATGGGCACAGATGGCAGTGTGGTCCAGGAGGACCTGGAGGGGTGGACAGTGCTTGTGCTCCTTTAGGGACCAAACTATGAGCCACAGTAGGCTGGGAAGATGGTGGATGACATAAGCATACTACTCTTAAAAATTGCTCCAAGAAACACCATTCCTTGATGTGCGGAGGAAATGGTAACCCTCAATACAATCTAATGGTCCTTCCTACTCCTATTTTATATTCTTAGCCAGGATTTCTGCTGAACACAGATCTATGCTGGGAAAGGTGGAGGGTTAGGATCATCCCTTAACAAGATGGATTGGCACAATGATAGGAAAAATGGACTCGAGTACATCAGAGACAATGAGGATGGCAAAGGACAGGGCAGGGTTCAGATCCATTGTTCTTAGAGTTGCTATGACTCGTTCCGTGTTATGACCACCCTTTGCTAGAACACTGGGCTGCCAGTCCTTTAAAGCAGGCCTGATCCACAAGTCAATGTGCTAAAAGGACTCTCTGTAGACACCTAATAGTTGACTCTGTAGATTCTGTAGCTGAATTTGAAGTGTGAGCTGTTAACTCTTAATGATCAGTGGTTTGCATAAACATCTCAAGTAAATATAACTCGTAATCACAGATGTTCAACAAGCACTAGTGCTTTTCCCCTGATGCAGAGGCTCAGACTCAGCAGTTGCAGACTTGGGTCACATGTTGCTCTAACTTGGGTAAGCCAAAACGGCAAAACAGAACTTTAGTTTTGACACTGGCAGGACAGCTGCAAAAGTAATTATGTCCCCTTATGATAGTAACCAGCCTCATCCCCCTTGTGGGGTTGGAATATGAGAAAGCAAAGTGTCTCTTCCTATGTTGCACGGTAAAAGTGTACCACACCAAGCCCACCTCTGGCTGTGTGCTGACCAGGTCTTCAAGGTGCAGTGGCCTTACCAAATCCAACAGAGGGAGTGAACCCACATGTGCAAGTCTCCAAGTGACACGGCACTTGTTTTCTTTTGTCAATTGTTCTTTGGTGTCTCCCCTTTTCTAGCCAATGAGTAGGAAAGGGAAGGAAGAGGAACTACTGCTAAGTCCTAGTGGCTTCTTGTTAAATGTATATAAATACATGTGTGTTGAAAGCATATTCTTAATAAAATTATTAATAACTCAGAGTCAGGATGGGAGGAGCCACTGAATGTGGGATCACAGGGTGTTGATTCTGACCATGTTCCCTATTTTGTGACTAGATGCTGTTGTGCAGAGCAGGCTGACTCTCCTGGGATGTTTCTTTGAGTTCCAAAGGTACCAGCTGACTCAAGTGGAATTTAGCTCAGCACATTCTGAGCCACTGCAAACCTCAATCCCATGAAGGCTGGGATTTCTTTATAAATAATAGATTATAGGCATGTGCATGTGGGTGAGCACTCACACATGTGCATATGTGTGCATGCACACTCGTGCCCAGAACATATAAACCCGTATATAGGTGTTCAGCATCATGGACTTGAAGCATTTGTGGCGAAAAACAAAGATCTCAGCCTTCAGCTTGGATTATATCTCAGCATAGAGAAAACAAAGAACCTCACAACCAGATGGTGACATTATGATAGGCGGGGAAAAGACTGAAGATGCCAATGATTTCATTTTACTTGGATCCATAATCAACATTCATGGTATCAGCAGTCAAAAAACAAGGAAAAAAAGTAGTATTCGAAAAATCTGCTGTCACAGACTTCTCCAAAGTGCTAAAGGGCAAGAATGTCAATTTAAAGGTTAAGGTGTGCCTGATGCAAGCCACGGCCTTTTCAATTGCTTCCTGTGTATCTGGTAGGCGGACAGTGAATAAAGATGATAGAAGATAATTGATGCCTTTGAACTATGGTACTGGATAAGAACACGGACTATCTCATGAATTGCCAAAAGAACCAACAGGTCTACCTTGGAGGAAATGCAACCAGAGCTCCTTAGAGGCATGGATGGTGAAACGTCATCTCACATACTTTGACCGTGTTGTCAGGAGGGGTCAGTCTTGAAAAAAAAATACATCATGCTGGGAAAGGTGTAAGGTCAGCTGAAGAGGGGAAAATTCTCATCAAGATGAATTGATAGTGACTGTGACAATGGGCTTGAGTATGTTGGGCACTATGAGAACGATGCTGGATAGGGCAGGGCTGATTTGTTGTTCAGAGGGTCACTATGAACTGTAGTTGATTGAACAGCACCTAGTAACATTCAGGTATAACATAAACTCTGGAAGTTGGAAATGGGATTGGATTCTCTGCCTACTCAGAAATGAGAAAGTCCTTGAGCCAATGACTCGGGATGCTTGCAGATCCCCAGTGTCAAGGAAAGCTGCAGTCTTGCTGAAGGACTTGAGATCAGGCATAATGATGGTAGAATGAACAAGACTGAGGGCAGAGGGTACAAAGCAAGGCATTTGGGCCAGGAGGTGAGCATACTGTGTGAGGACGCATGAGCTGGGCCTGGCTCCAGTGGGCAGGACTAGGTGAAGATAAACTCCTCTTCACAGGCTCTGTGTCCTGATAGCTAGGTTCACCACATAAGCCCCAAAATTAATCTCTCTAAATTTTTACTATGAAAGCCAAAAATCTGGCCAAAGGATAAGATTAGTCTCTTGTTTTCTATTTCACAGTAAACCAAGATGGCAGCCATATAAATGCCTGAGTGTCTGTGAGGCTGGCTGCTGGGAGTCAAGCCTGAGTGAACAGACAGGCAAAGGGCCTTGGTCCTGAGGCTTGCGTTTTCCAGAGACAAGAGACCCACGGCGGCCAGACGTGATTGTCGTCTTGGCTCTCAAAGGCAGAAGTGCTCCTTCATTACGTCACAGAACATGCAGTGCACACAGTTACATGTAGCCAACTGGCCTTTATTGATAGAAAGAGGGAGCTCTTGGAAAATTCCTCTATAAAAGACACACACACATCAGTGCTGAAGAGCATGCACACACCCATGAAGTCCTGTGGCCACCTGCTCAGGACAGGCTTGCCAATCACAGCAGCCACCTACAGTCGTCATCAGAAGGAGCCTAGACAGACAGCCTCATCTTCATTTTAAGATAAAAATAAGAAGTGTTTCTGTTGTTAAGGGTGTTCAGAGTTAGCTGGCAACATCTGACATCGAGATTATACATGCACTCGATCTAAAATGGGGAAACAAGCACACTGACGGTCACTGAGGACTTAAGACGATCTCTTGGCTCTTTGGCCAACTGAGCCTAGATGGTGGTTTTTCAATATCTCAGCAACTTCAGCAGGCACATTACACTCGTCTGAGGAAGTCCAAATATTTCAGAATTCCAGGAGTGGCTGTGGAGAAAGAGCATCACTGGCAACGAAGCATTCAGGGCCCGCAGTAGTGGTAGGTACCCTGAGGTTTCTGCCAAAATACATTCGGGTTCACACATTCAAGCCAGCATACGAGATAGTTTTCTCTGTGAACATATTTACATTTCCATTTAATTTAAGAAAAACATGAACTTGGTGAATCTAGTTTAGCCACATGGATATATGCACTGCTCTCCCCAAAGTGCTGCCTCAACTCCCGACCTTGCTCAGCCACCCATCCCATTATCGAGTCCTCCAAGTGGTAGACTTAGAGAGATTGGCTGTAATACTGTTTTGAGGGGAGGCCAGGTAGACTTCTTCAGGTGTACAACCATTCAAAAATATTACCCAGTGGGAAGGATGGAAACTTACTTTCCCAGGACCTGGGCTGCCCACATGGGGACTGTGACGTTCTCCTGCCTCCTACCTGGGCTGAATAGGGAGCTCCCCACCTGGAACTATCTTTATTGGAATTCAAATCAGAAACACCAGAGAGCTCGAGGGAGCCAAAGCTCTTCCATTTTTACTTCAAAGCCACAGTGGCTGAACATTTGAGACAGGAGTTGACCAGGGTAACAAAAACATCTTTAAAAAAGAATTCCAGTGAGGTAGTTGAGGTCAAATACCAAGCTCAAAGCCTATGCCAAGGTGCTTCAGAACTGCTCGGGTATTTTAAAGATAATTGGCTTGTGGGCCCGGTGTGTGTATGTGCCAGCCTCAAGACATGCCCACTGTGGAGTGGGACCTTGGGAGGGCATGGTTGGTGACAGAACATGATGACCACAGCTCCAGCAGACCAGAGTACAGGGCAGCTCTGACACACACATAGGGGAGGGTAGTCTGGAACTTCCCTTTGTGATTACTTGGCCCTGCCCCCTTGCTTTCTGTACAGTTTTCTAAGATGTGAAGCTCATGTGCCTTTGGGGATGGGCACAGGGGCAAAGGGCAAGATAGCAAGACAAAGCCTAGGAGTGTGAATCGTATGACAGCTATGGCAATACTGACCTTCAGGTAGCACGCACATCCCTACACATCCTGGGTACACACACTTGGGCATGTAAAACTCCCCCCCCCCAAACTAGCATTCATGAGCACCTGAGCACACACCTGCATAGTTACACACCCATCACACTCAAATAGGCATTCATGTGCTTCACGCAGGTGGTGCACACCTAGACCTTACACCCAACATGGACATGTGACGTGCGTGGCTCAGGTGCAACCACTGAGCAGAGCGTGGTAGACAAGCAGTGTCCTCTGATGCAACAAGCGGAGGTCCAGGCAGACCAGGGCAGAGGAAGGTGGAGAGCAGGAAAGGAGTACAGGGAGACCCACCACCGTCACTGGGTGCCATCACCAGCCTGACCCCAGCCGCCCTGTCCCATGCTGCAGGGACGCTGGCACACCACCGTGCACTGAAGACAAACAAGGTGAGAGAGTGAGGACCGAGTCGTCTGCACTAGGTCTCTGGCGAATAGTCACTGCAGGCCACAGGTGCCAGAGTTGAGAAGCTGCTCCAGCGCCTTGAGCCCGGCTGGGCCTCCACTGGCCCTTGCTCTTTATATTTACCCAGGATGGTTTTGGCTTCTTCAGCATCCTGCAGAGGGCTCTCTCCAAACTCCTCTTTCAGCCACTGCCGATACTAGAGAGGTTGGAGACAAAAGGAAATGTCACACCCTTCACTCAGAGAGACTTTACCTGCCATGTGATGGCACACTGCTGTTCGCCAAATGCACGCAGGAAATGAAAGGGCACTGGGCAGCACAGCTCTGCCACGGACTGGCCAGTGGTGAGCCAGAGAAATGCCTGCTCTCTCAAAGTTTGGGGTTTTTCTCCCTTTCCTTTTTTTTTAATTTTATATTGGTATGCACAAAATTTCTATACATAGTGTTTCCTTTACATCTATTGTGTTTCATACATTCCTTTAGTCACATTGTTTCATTTTATCTTCCCATACATTGTATTTTATAAAATTAATCACCATGGATCCATGCCCACCATTACCCTACCTTTTCAGACCCCCTTGGATCTTCCCTAATTCCTTCAACCCCTCACTCTGCCCACATAATTCTGGGACCCTATTATTTCCCCGCCTCCTAGCCCTTAGTTCTCTTCCTCCCTCCCCTTATCCCTTTTGGACTTTATACACATCTTACTAGTAATCCTATTTTTACAAAAATGATCTTATTTGTCCTCATGAGACTTAGTTCACTCAACATAATGCTCTCTAGCCCCTCCCATGTTATACAGTATTTTTCAAAATCATTGCTCTTGAGTGCTGCATACTATTCCACTGTGTGAATGTTCCACAATTTTTGACCTAGACATAAAAGTCAGGCAAACCAGGAAAGATGGCAGAAAAGAGACATTCATAAGCTCATTCAGGACTCCAGAGAGGACACTGCACAGTGGAGACCACGCAGACTCGGCATCTGGTTCTGTCACTGTGCTGCAGACAGGTGTCACATCACAAGGCTGTCCCCTGCATCTCACTATCCCCCTAAGGGCTGATTACCTGGTGAAGTTCATGCTTCTCGAATTCCTGGAGCTGTCTCTGGAAGCCAAGGTTGGGGTTGGCACAGGACCGACCTGCACGCACCATGTGCAGGGCGTCTTCCCAGCCTAAGTCAGTGATGGTCATGACGTATGCAGTCACCAGGGTCACACTCCTCGAGACACCGGCCAGGCTGCAGGGCAAGAAGTCAGCACACTGATGGACTCCACGGGCAATGACTGTGCCATTCCGTCATTTAGTCATGGGCTAGGGACAGCAGTGCCTCCTTGAGAGCAAACAGGGACCAGACTCTGCTTCCCTTCACTGAGGGAGCTCTGATGGCCTAGTGATAAGAGGCTGTGCTGCTAAACCAAATGCAGGTTGTTCTACTCCACCAGCTGTTCTGTTCAAGAAAGAGAGGCAATCTCTTCCCATGTGATTTATAGTCGCTGAAAACCTGCTGCAGGGTCAGCTATGATTTTGACTTATAGCAATGAGTTGTTTGTTGTTCCTCTATTTAAGGAACTCTGGGGGTACGATGAGTTACATGTTGTGCTGAAATTTTAATCTACCAGCTGTTCTTCAGAAAAAAGATGAAAATCTCCTTCCATAAAGACTTGGAGACTCGGATGCCTGAGGGAGGGGCACCAAGAGTCAGCACCACTGAGATGGCAGAGGGCATTTCGGGTTTCCCTCTATTCACTACATCGACATCTCTTCTTTAGCTGTGTTAATCTTGTACATTATTGATTTTATACTGATGTGACTCTGGACACTAGCTTTATGATCCCTGAAGCCTTCTCAGAGACTTTGTGTCTTCAGCAATAAGACCTGAAGTACATCAAAGTGGACTGAGGCTCTCATGGTATAATATATCCGTTCACAACCTACAATAGTTTAGCATGCAATGCAGGTTATCAAAGTCAAGTTTTCTTAGATAGAGGAAGGCTAGATCTCTAATTTTTAAAACCCATAGTCCCAGAAGTCCTTAGCAAATCTGCTTTCGTGTTCTTTTTCATAAACCAGGTTGAATGCAAAAGCAGGCACACTCTCCACCCTCAGCTGGTCTCTGGCAGGTGGTCCAGGAGACACATTTCGGGCAATAACGGTTCTTGATCTCCAGAAGACAAAGAACCAATTTTAAATGCATATGCAAATCAAGGGCAGTTCCAGAGAGGGGGTGCTGTCTCTAACACAGTACTCTGAGCAACGGTTTAAGATGGGGAAGTTTAGCAAATTTCTCACTCTTTAAAAAGCATGTCTTCAGACATACGTGTGAATGGAGTTAAGATCCCTAGACGACCAGACTGGCTCATATTCAAATATAAATCATAAAAACCACACTCTTAGTGGCATTTCCCTTCAGGGGCTGGCAGCCCCTGAGGTCTGAGTGTTCCTGGGTTGAGACTGGACTGGGATCCTCTGAGCGGTTGAGGAGAAGGACTCCTATGACCCTGTCAAATGATTCCAAGTGCATCTGCTTCAAGTGCTTCCAGGGAGTTCTGGTGGATTGTTCTACTAACCCAAAGGCAAAGCATCTCTGGTTGTTCAAATTCACCAGCTTCTCTGCTGCACAAAGATGGACAATCTTCTCTCCTAAGATTTACAGCCTCTGAAAACCTGCTGGAGGGTCCATGATCTTGGGCTAACATGCTTTAGAGCTGGTGTAAACAAAAATTACAAAGGCTGTAATCTGAATGTAGACATTTCCTGCTTCTTTTAAAAGTGAAATGAAAGAAAAAAATCACACTATTTGAAGGACTGAATAAAATGGCAGAATACCATTCTTAGAGTAACTCAACAGTCTGGTCCCCTCCACTGCTGCTGAGGACTAGCTACTTCCCAGGGGTGACTGTCTCTGGAGATCATGTGACCCTCCTTCCTACCAGGTGGGGCTGCCCTGGCCTCGACAGCACCTCTCAGGAGAGACCACATGTCCCTAGGGTGCACACTTGAGCAGTAACTTCTTTTTGGGAACTCAGCAGATTGTTACACTTCAGTTCCTTAACAGTACACCTCATTCATGACCCACAGGTGATAAACTCAAGGTGTACTTGAGCAAGAAGAGCCCTGGCTCTAGAGAGTGAGCTACTGGTTTCCCAGGCAAGTCAGCTCTGCTTTCTGTGTGGTGACAACAGCAAGGGAAGTCTGGCTCCCAAGACGCTCCTGATGTACTGATCAGTATCACCAAGAACAGCCTGGCTCCCAGGGCGCTCCTGAAGTGGAAGTCAGTATCACAAAGGACAGTCTGGTTCACAGGACGCTCCCGACACGCCAATCAGTATCATTAAGAACATCCTGGCACCCAACATACAGGTCAATATCAAAAAGCACATGTGGGTGCAAAGGGATGCTGGTGCTCAGACCTCAGTCTATACTGATGCTCTCAAAGCAAAGAGCAAAGCCAAAACATGCAAAGGCTCCAACATGTGAGTGGAGAGTTCTCATTTGATGGTCAAGCAATGCTGACATCCCTACACGGAATCACAGAAGAAGAAGAAATTGCTTTGAAGGTCTCCAGGATGGGCCCTAGCCCCCAGGAGGCTGCCCTATGGGAGGACTGCTGCAGATCACAGCAATCCCCCATCATGATTTCAGAGCTGTGAATCTTTATGGGAAAAACCATCCATATTTCTCTCCAGGAACAGCTGGTGGATTCAAACCACTGACCTTTTTGCTAGCTGTCCACTATGTCACCAGAGCTCTGTGATGGAATAAAAGATCCTGAAAAAGGACAAGGTCTGTACAGCAAGCTCTAGAGTCCCTACAGAAATCCCAACATGGGGGAGAATGGCAAAGTAATTAGGGTTCTCCTCCCACCAAAGCAAAGGACGACTTACAAACAACAGAGGCCAGCCGGGGTGTGCATGAGACCGGCTGGGCAGAACACAGATTACATCAAGCAATCACATCCTAGCAAGCCCCACTGAGGACCAGAGCAAGCAGGAGACCATGCTCTGAAGCAGGGACATACCCACCAGTGCACCAGGCAGCCCTCGCCCTTCAGCCGGCATTCGTGGATGAACTTAATGCTTTCCTTAAAATGTCTTGTCCTGGGGAAGAGAAAAGGGAGAAATTACACGTTTCTACTTTAATCATTATAGATGGAGGAGAAGCCCACGGCTTCTAGAACAGAGATCAGAGCTCTCTATCACCAGTGCGTGTGCGTGACAGGCCTACAGCTCTGACATTCCAATGCTGAGGTCCTAGGGAGACTAGCCTGCTTGGGGAATTCCTCTGCGCTGCTCACCCACTGGGTTCACTCCGAAACCCCTGCTCAGCAGCCCCACAGGTGCTCTACACCTTGATGACCAGTGAGGACTCCTCTGACCACGGAGGAATCCCAACTCAACTCTCGGCTTCAATCTTGACAGGTTCCATCATCGTTCCTCACGCCATCAGTGTTAGTCAAAATCCTCAAAACTCGTTGTGGAGTCAGAACCATCTCATAGCTGACTTTCTAGCAGGTTTTCAGGGGCAGTAAATTTCCTGGGAGGAGACTACTCATCTTTCTCCCATTGAGCCACTGGTGCATTCAAAATGCCCATCTTTGGTTTGGCAGTGCGACCCCTACCTGCTAGAGCACCAGAGCTCCCTTCAGAGTGCTGTTAGAGACAGGGGTGATGGCTCCATTCCCTGTGCTTCTCATTTATTCTGGGAAATAGACTTTGCTCCTGACCTAAGTTAGGAGCAAAGTTATTCGGAACAGGAAACAACACAGGTTAACATGCTTTGTGAACTCTGACATCCTCTGTAGCTATTCACCATTAAGGGCTGGCTTCCTTTGACTCTCCAGCTTTATGAGTTCATTCCTTTCTCTGATTATTCGCTCATTCAGTAATCATCTATGAAGGACCTACACGGCATTGTGTAGCATTGCGTTGTATCCATAGCATACAAAGATCAACAGGATTTCATGTTCTACCTTGATGAACACGCAAAGTTCAATGTACATAGCATCACTGTTCTTGCTATATTTAAAAATAAGCCCTGGAGTAAGTACAAAAACTCCATACCAAAGTAAAAGGTACATGCTCTTAGACGCAGTATATCAAAAGATGAATTACACTGCAAAAATCTGCTGTCAGGGACCTCTCCAGAGTCCTGAGAAGCAATGTGGCAGTCTAAAGACTAAGGTGTGCCTGATCCAGGCCATAGTCTTCTCAATTACTTGTTATGCATCAGAGACAATGACTAAGGACAGTGATTAAGGATGACTAAGGATGAGAGAATAAGAATTGATGCTTTTGAGTTGTGGTGCTGGAGAAGAGTCTTGAACATATCATGGACTGCCAGGAGAACAAACAGATCTGTCTTGGAAAGGGTGAAACCAAGTTTCTCCTTCGAGGCTAAGATTCTGAAGCTCCATCTCACATACTTTGGGCACACGTCCAGGAGGGACCAGTCCTTGGAGAAAGACACCATGCTCAGAAGAGTGAAGGGACAGAGCAAGAGAGAAAGACCCCAGAAGATATGGATTGATACAGTAACTAGGGCAATGGGGATAGGTGTGTCGGAGTCAGTGTAATTGGCTGAGGACAGGGCAGGCTTTAGAGCTGTTGTACATAGGGTCACTGTTGTACATAGGGTCACTGTTGTACATAGGGTCACTGTCGTACATAGGGTGACTCAATGGCACATAACAACAACAGCATTCTTAGGAATAACTTACAAATCTCCATTTCATGGTAACTGAATATTTCATTAACTGCCAAAGGAACAAACAAGCCTGTCTTGGAGCAAGTGTAACCAGGATGCTCCTTAGAGGTAAGGATGATGAAGCTTCATCTCACAAACTTTGGGTATATTGTCAAGAGGAAAAGAGGCAGCCTTTTTCTTTGGAAAGAGACATTCTTCTGGGAAAGGTAGAGCGTCAGTGAAGAGAGAGGAAGCCTCTCAACAAGATGGCCTGACAAAGTGGCAGCAACATTAGGCTTAGGTGTGCTGGGGACGGTGAGGATGGTGCAGGATTGGGCAAGGCCTGTGCTTCACAGGGTCGCTGAGTCGTGGTTGAATTGAGGGCACATGACAGCAACAACCAGATAGTGCAGGAACACCACAAGCTACCCCTGAATTAAATCAACTTCACTTTAAATACTGATTTTATTATTTATAATTTCCTGAGAATGAAAGAGATTGAAAGAGAAACCATTATCTTGTTCAGACTGGGGATAAAAAACCCAGCTGTCTATTATCTCAGGTGGGAAGAACATGAGAATTGGTAGTGCAGGGGGGGCCCACAGTGAACTCACCCAGCTATGGAGAGTACAGCATCTCAAACACATGATGACCAGGCCAGAACAGTCAGGCGAGAGAATGAGTTACCAGTGTGAACACACGCATGCCCATGTGTGTGCATACACACAGAGACACACAACATGCACACCATGCACATACACACGAGTACATGTATGTAAACCACACACTTACATGGACATTCACAAGCACAGACATACCATACACACACTCAAACATACTATCCACGCACATATACCAAACATAAACTCACCACTACTCACAGGCACACACATACACACCACACACATGCCATATATATATACACACACATCAACAGCATGCACACACACACATTGACAAGCACACCTCACACTCACAAGGACATCAATGGGCACATACATATATGATAGATACACACACATACACCATGCACACACATGTGAACCTCTACACCACACACATGGACATTCACAGGCACATGCATATAGCACACACACACACATCATGCATGCACAAACACCATATACACACTCTCACATACATGCATCATGCACACATGTAAACATGCACACTACACTCACAAGGATACTCATAGGCACACACATATATAAACACATACATAATACACCACATATAACCCTATGTGTACACACACGTCACATTCATAGACAAACACCCATATACACAACACACTCTCATGGACTTCCACTGGCACACACATACTGTGTGTATGTGTACATTCATCACTTACACACACACTTCAGCAGTCACCAGGGTAACGCATGACTCTAAACTCTGACCTGAAACCTGTCACCACCAGGATGCAACAACAGAAGCTTCAGTGCACTTTCTCAATGACCAGTGCTCCCAGCTGTTGGCTCAGGAAGATAGTCCCAGAACTGTAGCTTTGTTCCCAGGAAGAACTACTTCCTGAGGAGCAGACAGGAAAGCAATGTGAATAGCATGCCAAAATTGAAGTACTAGCCCTGAAAGAGGTCTTCTTGGGTTGTGAAACAGAACTCAGAGATACAGAGGGGCAGAGGGGGCAGAGAGGGCAGAGGTAGGGAGGGCCAGGGAGGAGAGGGTAGGTGCTGAGAGTGCAGGGAAGGTGGGGGCATGGGTCCTGAGGGCAGGGACTGTAGTCAGGGGACAGCAGGCACAATGCAGTCAGTAGTGCTGCATCCAGGCTCTGCAGGGATGGAGAAGTTGAAGTGCGCTGTCTTGTGATGATGTGCAGAAGACCTGAGAAGTCATGTTCCCTAAGGCATATCCTCTTGCCCTCAAGGACTGGCCAGTGGATAAGATGAAAGACCGTAGAGTGGATGAGCTTTTGCTAGGTCCCTGCCCCGACAGTAGCAATACTCTGTCACTAGGGGTCATGGTCTGATGCCCAGCAGCCCTGAGGACAAGCAAGACAGCAGACTAAGCCTGGGGACAGGAATGTCAGAGAACGCTGTGTCCTAAGAGTCAGGCATGTGACGTGGTGAATGTCTTTACAACTTGAAACTATCAGCCAGGCATCATTACTTATAGCTACAAGTCTTCTACCTGATGTCAGCTAATTTAATAAACCTTACACCCTGGGCCAATGTCGCTGGACTAGAGGGGCTACACCCCCTGCCCCATGCCCACAGTCCATCCTGGGTCTGAGTGCATCTCCCCTACTTGCACGCAGAGTCCACCTGCATCCCAGATACCGAGGCAGAGTAGGGTGGTGTGGGCCCCAGAATGCCAAAGACTCTCACCTTCCCAATAGTGCCAGGCAACCTGCAAGCCCTGCTGCCTCTCTACATCCCCTCAGGTCAAGGCAAGCCATGTGTGACCACAGGAGGGACAGCACGCAGAGGGGTGACAACATGTGGAGGGGACTGCACAGCTGAGGCCACAGTTCCCCGCTCAGCACTCTGGGACAGCCAGCATGGGCTGACAGGCAGGCCAGTGGGCCTCAGGCCCTCCCGCTGTACCTTGGGGACACAGGCTTTGCAAAGGAGGCCTCAAATCACTTTACTGAAACTTTAGAGTGGGAACGGCTTTTTATATCTGGCATTTACACCTGCACTCAGCAGACCACAGCCATGCTCATACTCAGTTCCTTAGACAGGGTGGGCTCAACCTGGGTTCAAGCTAGCCTCTCAGAATAAGGAGTGGGGGCAAAGTCAACACACAACATGCTTATGTACCCAAGAGCAGAATCAAAGCTTGTCCTTTCTGTCCTGAGGTCCACCGCAGCAAGTGTCCAATGGCCATGGGGGCCTAGTCACCACGGCGTGTGAGATCTCCAGGACAAGGTCCCTCACAGCCTAGCCCTGTGCCTTTTGGTTCCATCTGTGTTGACAGGTGGGAGACGATACCTGGGGGAGCCAGTGCCAAGGGCCCAGGTATGAGAGCAGAGGCCAGGCCACACTGTAGTGCAATGAGGGAACTAGTTAGTGCCCACCACAAACCTGAGTCATGAACGCCACCAGCCATGAGGCCATGCCAAGCTGACGTTCCTAGAAATGCCTTTTCCAAGAAAAGCCCGAAGGTGGGCGAGGTTTTGCACTGGTTTAGACTCAAAATGTGCTCCACGAGGGGGTTTTTTCCAGGGAAACTAATGACATAAGACCAGGCCTGCTCACTGAAGTGCATTCTCCCTAGTGGGAAGTCCCGGCTTGGTCCTCATATTGCTCAATCCTCATTTGAAGCAGAAGCACACATTAAAGATCCTTCCCCACCACAAGCTGTTTCAATGGGCATGAGTTCCCCATTTCGCATCTCTGTTTTATGATCAAAAGCATGTAGAGTGAGTTCCATCCAAGAAGAGTAGGACAGGCTT